GTGTGTGTGTGTGTGTGTGTGTGTGTGTGTGTGTGTGTGTGATCTCCCTTTGTTCATGTGCTTCTCTTGAGCTATTTTTAGCTCCAGTTTCCCATTCTGCTTTCTGGTAGAATGGTGCAGAGTCCACATCTGGCAGTAACGGATATCAGGGTATAGTTACAAAACGTATTAGCAAAGCAGGTAAACCCCTTTAAGAAGCACAAGCCAGTAAAGAGAAAATACTGCTTAAAATGGAATATTTACACAGAGTTTTGAAATATAACTTAATACATTTCTAAATAAATTCTAAAAAACTAACTGAACTTCTAGTGTTTCTGAAAGCCATTACTTGGTTAAACTTTAAATATGGTTTATAAGTCTATATAGGACTTCCTTTATCAGAAGAAATTTATATTGAAAATAAGATTCTCTGAGAACATTGTAAAGCATCTGGACAATAAAATTACTGGGTAAAATCTAATAATATATCCTCTTACCCTATTTTTCTGTTAATATGACCCTAATACCATCATTTCCCAAATTGTTGAAATCTATGCCATCATTATCAATTTAATATTCCTTATACAACCTCAATATGCTTATCCAGAGGCACAGACTCAAGTTAATTATTAAAAAATTCAATGTGAAAAGGATGGTCATAAATCTACTTAGAAAAAAGAAACAAACTAAAATGTTATACAAATAGTTCTGTCTCTTATTATTCAAAAGTATGTGAACTTGCTATCAAGTTTTCTAACTTTAATTGGTAGCAACCAGTAAAACATCTTTTTAAAACTATGATTACCGGAAAAAAATTTCCCCTTATGCACTATAATGTAGGCTTTTTCCATAGTAATCTGTTTATGTAATCACCAGATTAGACTGTAAAATTACTGCTTTTTACTGAAGGGTATTTATAAATTCAGCTCTGAAATATCATTGTAGAGAATATCTCCTCTCTTGAATGTCTAACAGTTTTAAAAAGTTATTTTCCCTTCAGAGGATGGATGTGTTTACATTCATGATCTTATTTTTTTTTTTTTTTTACATTCATGATCTTATATGAAGTTCTTGATTTTGAAATGGACTTGCAACTCAATATTCCTGGTGAAGAAAAAAATAATGTTGGCAAGTTAGAATTGAAGAAACATGAAATATTAGAAACAGCAGAGGAAAATGATTCAGAAAATTTCTAAATAATTTAAGTGTTAGTGTTTTTAAAGAAAATTTTATCAAACTTTCAAAAAGTGTTCTGAATAAAACCAGAAGTAAAACTCCACTCTCCCCAAAACCCAGAAAATACCAAAAATATTAAGGCATAATTATAAAGTAATGAGTCAGCCTTTTCAACAAATAAACCAAAATTTACTATCTCATGAACTTGGATAGCAAGATTTCAGTTGTGCTCATGATTCCCAAATCTATTAACTGCACTTCAACTTTCTCTCCAAACTTAAAAATCAAGAGCCTATGAATATTTCAATTGTATGTTCCAAAGACATGTCAATAATCGTCCTAAGCCTGTTTTGTTTCCTAGTTCATGCATAGGAACTATTCATGTAGTTCCTAAGTCAGAAAGCACATCTTGTCAATATTCCTTAAAAGATCTATTTCTCTTACAGATACTGCCACTATCCTAATAAAATTCTTATCATTTTACTTGTAGCTGGTATCCTTGTCACTATTCTCATTTCCCTATAGTCCATCCTTTACACAGACTAACCAGTGCCAGAATATTTGTTTCAACATAAAGATCTAATTGTGACACATCATTTACATTATTTCAAAGATCCTCTATATCCATGATGATAGAGTCTAAATATTACATGTATTTCTACGATTTGTTGCTTAACCATCCCATCTCATCTTTTGCCCCCAGCCCTGCTCCCATACTGACCTCTCTTCAAATTCTCTTATAAAAGCCACTGGGCTTTCATAGAAGCTGCTTTACCTGTCTGGATCACCCTTTCTCTGACTGTCCCCTTTGTCCTAATCTTGTCCTCGCTATACCTAGTCATCACAGGGCAGTCCAGGCACCATCACTTCCTGGAAGGCTCTTTAGATCTTTCTCCTCCCCTAATCCAACCCCAGGGCTGAATTAGGTATGTTTCTGCCTAACTCCATTTGCACATTGTGTACATATTGCTATGGCACTTAGCACATTGCATCATGATCGCATCTTAATTTATCTTTCTCCCAATTACACTGTAGCCTTATGGAAGGCATACCCACTCATCCTCAGTTTCTAACATTATACGTGGTACATGTCAATAAATGTTTGTTGAATGCATGGATGGATGGATGGATAAATGAATTAATTAGATCCCTTAGAGAGGGAAAAGACCTTATTCCAATGATGCTGCCTTTGCTTAAATCATTTGTGGAAAACAGTTTAGGAATTGTCTTCAGAATTGGTTTATGAAATAGAAAAGGGTATCAATATTTCCCTGCCTTTTTGGCAACACCTGTGTTAGCATTGTTTGAACAACAAAAAATGTGGGATGGAGATTATCATCCGTCTTTATTCACCAGCTACATATGATCTATTCTCAAAGGCTGAGGATGATGCAAAAATATGCTCCTAGTTTTGAGCACAATTACAAAAGGTAGTGTTAATGGACATATTGCTTCCTAGGGTGGCTGCCTGAAAATATAAGCTCTGGTGTTCTTTTAAAAAGAAATCAGTCTCACTGCTTTATTACCATGCTTCACATTTGGATATCTGAATTAGTTATTTTTGTGAATGTTAATCACAAATTTATGAGAGAAAATCAATTTAAAAATATTAGCTAGTAGAATGAACACATAGTTCCCAAGACTATCTTGAAATATTTCCAAATCAGATTCTATAGTTTTAACTCTCTAGAAAAAACTTTTTGAGAAAATCCTATTATTTTGTTCAGATTCAAGTTCAAACATTTCTTTTAAACCACAGTTCTAAGAACATACTTTCATTGCCAAACTCTCTCCAAGGGATGCAATATTCTCAGATTTTTTATCCAAACATGCTTGCAGGCATTCCTTTTCTTTAGCCAGATCGTTGAGGGTTGCACCAAGAATGCTGATTTCTTCTCTCTGGGCAATACTTTGCCTGGTAAAATTATCTAAATATGTAATCATAAAGGCATTGTTTTAATCAAGATATTTTTTTCCAATATAAGCAGACTGAAATACTTTTCAAAGTAAATTCTCCTATATTGTGTTCAATGACTAAAAATAAGTACTGTATCCCAAATAAAAAATGGCTTTTGTTGTTAGCGATTAAAAACTGAGATGAATCATGAAATTCTAACTGACTCATAAATGTAAAAGCACAATTAACACATTTAAATTAGAACAGCAAAAGAAAGCTCTATATCACAAGTTCTCAAAGTAGATTTACATGTGTGGTGGGGGAGGAGAGGGTGAGTGGTCAAAATAAGTGGAATATTAAAACAAACTGTGACCTCTCTCCCTCTGATTTCCCCACCCTCTAGCCTAGAATCACCATTGCATATAAGTTGGTAACTAAAAGACCTTAATATAATATTTAATTAGGTCATCTTCAGAGCCAAATGTCTCCTGATATTCTGATTTTTCTAAAGTAGGGTTATAAGAATTCCTAGCGGGAAAGAAAATCCCACGAAGTCTGATTTGATTTGTGATAACACTGGCAAGCCAATGTCAGTGTTGAAGGCCTGACTGACTGGTATAGAACAGTGGTTTTCAAATTCTGGTTTTTCATCCAGCACACAGCATCACCTGGGAACTTGTCAGAAATATAAAATCTGAGGTCCCACACCAGAAATTCTGAATCAGAAATTCTGAGTGGGCAGAGCAATTTATGTTTTCACAAGCACCCCACTCATGTGATTCTAATGCATGACAAAGTTTGAGAACCACTTGAGGAATTAGTAAAGATACAAAAAGCCTTGGCCATATCTTACTTCAAGGAGCCTAGCTCCAGTGATGTTTAGTAGCTCTCCAAGTGATTCTGACACACAACAAAGTTTGAGAAACCCTGGTCTAGAGCTCTACAAGGGAAGCTCTATTACACCAGACCTCTAGGTAAATCCTTGCCAACAGTCATCCAGAGCAGTGTTAAGAGAGGTAAAACCATATGCCAAGAGGATGATCTATATAGTACTTAAAAATACATCAAGTCCCTTTTCCAGAGAGTACTATCTTTAAGGCAAACCACATGTTTTGGTATTCTGATATTTGAGTTCATTCCCATTGGCCAAAATAAATACATTTTAAAACTCTAAAACACCTCTAGGGTCTCCTAGCTTTAAAAAAAAAACTTCAACCTTACATCCCACTCAAGCTACCGTACCATTTTTCTGCTTCTGTTAATTGCTAAGCTTAAGAGACTTCTATTCTCTCCTGTCCCTACCTCCTCACTTCCTAATCATTTCTCAACCTACAACCCATCTTCCACATCCAACACTCCATTCACTTTTTTTGTCAATTTTACCAAAACCTCCAATGTGCCAAATCCAATCAATATTTTTCATCCTCATCTTATTTTGCTTCTCAAAGATATCTGACAATTGATCATACCCTCCTTTTTAAAGTATTTTGCTCTCTTGCCTCCCAAAATAACACTCACTTCTGGGTTTTCTTCCTACTTCTTTGGCTTCTTCTTACTGAGTCCTGGATCCTCTTCTCATTCTCTATATTTTCCCTAGGCAATTTCATGGTTTTAAAATATCATTTATATGCTGATGTGTCCCAGATGTTTATCTTTAGCTTAGATTTCTCTTCTGAGATAAAAACTTATCTATTTAACTGCTTACCTTAGATTTTTATTTAGACTTAAAATATCCAAAAATGAGTTCTTTAATATTCCCCTTCTATAGTTCTCTTGTAATATTTCCTATCTTAATAAAAAGCACTTCTACTCACCTAATTGTTTATGCCAGACATTTTTTTAACTACAAAACAGAAAATGTTAAAAAATATTCCCCATTTTAAAATGGGCTTTTTAATAGTCCTGACCAAAATTTTACTTTACAGTTATAAGAAGATTAAGTTATGACCACATTTTCATAGAGATCACTGGTAAAAAACATAAATATGACACTTTATAAAAACAATTTTCTCTATGAACCCAAGTGAGAGCATACAGTCAAATATATGTACACTTTCCATCAAAATAATATACAGATATGTACACCGCGTTTCATCACAACAGTATGGACAAGCCACAATGTAGTACGAACAGTTGTAAATTTACAAGGGATCATGACAAATTTACAAAGTGTCATTGCTTTGTTTAGCTATTTCTTCATTGAAAAATATGAAGCCATATCTAAGTATTTAGGGTCCTAAATATAAGTAAAAAATTTTACTATCAAAGAAAAAACACATTTTTCCATGATTCTTGATTGATAAACTTTTAATTTATGGGCCTATTTCCAAGTTTATCTATGTTATAACTGAAGAGAAGAAAACATGTTTTTCTACCAGACTTTAAAATATATATATTTATTTATCAGGGGAAAAAAACTCACCAATTTTTTCATCCAAGCACATAATTTTCTCCTGAGTAAGCTGTAGCTCATATTTTTTCTTAGCAAGATGTCGCTGAGTATCAGAAAGATCTTTTTCTGTATTTTCATATAAAAGTCTGTAAACATTTTAATAATAAAACTAATTCTGAAATTTTTATGCTTTATCAATTTTTTAGTGTATTTACATCTAAAAACTGGTAAGGACTGTAATATACATTTTTTCTTTTTAATATTTTCTTTATAAAAGTACATTAAAGGAAGTTTGGAGAATAAAGGGTAAAAAGTTCTCGATAAAAAGCTACTATTAGCATTTTGGTGTTCACATTCAGTATTTTTTCACAATATATATTTTAAAGTTACCATACTATAAATTCAAAATTGAATTGTGATTTTTTTTCACTTACACTTAATCTTTAATATTTTTCAGTCCTATAAAACAGCCCTCCAAATCACCATTTTCTGGCTGAAAAGTATTATATGAGCAATAGCCATTTACTTTTTTTTTTTTTAAGATTTATTTGTCAGAGAAAGAGTGCACAAGCAGGGGGAGCAGCAGGCTCCCTGCCAAGCAAGGAGCTGGATGTGGGACTCGATCCCAGGACCCTGAGATCATGACCCGAGCTGAAGGCAGATGCTTAACTGACTGAGCCACCCAGGCATCCCAAACATAAAGTACTCTTGACACAACACCCACAGAAAGCTCCTAAACCAGGTTATCACAAATACCCCCACCACAACCTAAATAATAAAAACAAAACCCCCTCCAGTATATACACACCAAGAGAATCTACCGTGAAAAAAAATAGAAAATGCATAAATATCTGAAATCTTCAACAAAGAAAAACCAGGGGAAAGCACGAACACAGTGTCGCCCACTACCACAAATTATGCAGTCGAGTTTCCTACATCTGGAGTGCAATGGATAAGCCTTGTCCTGGGAAAACCACATTTGTGAGTATAATAAGAAAATATTTTGAAAATATAGTGAAATTCCACTGTAGTCTAAATGAAGAATCTTTTCAAATGCATTGACAAATTATTTTTTTAGCTTTTTTTCTTGTAAAGCAGCATTTAAAAATGCATGCTAAGGGGTGCCTGACTGGCTCGGTCAGTGGAGCATGCAACTCTTAATCTCATCAAGGTTGTGGGTTCAAGCCCCACATTGGGTGCAGTAATCTCTGCATTTAAAGATTTTTTTTTAAAGATTTTATTTATTTATTTGAGAGAGAGAGAGAATGAGAGAGAGCACGAAAGGGAAGAGGGTCAGAGGGAGAAGCAGACTCCCTGCTGAGCAGGGAGCCTGATGCGGGACTCGATCCCGGGAGTCCAGGATCATGACCTGAGCCGAAGGCAGTCGCTTAACCAACTGAGCCACCCAGGCGCCCCTGCATTTAAAGATTTTAAAAAATCTTTAAAAAATGCATGGTAAAATGAGAAGCATAAATGTAGCAAGCCTATCAATTCACATGATAATGGTGAGTCCTGAAAGACACAGGATTGTGCAAAACCTTCCAGTGCACACTGTGGCTATTCTTAGGCTGTTAAATTGCATTGCAGCCATATACTTTCCAAAATAGCCATATCCCCCTGCACAACACAGGGATCTATCTATTAAGAAAAACAAAATAGAAAACTACACACATAATCAGAAGTTCTCAAATCAGACCTTTAAATCAATGACCGATAAACCACACCTAAAACAGACATTTAAGCAATAGAAACTTTAGAAATAAAGCTGGTGGCTTCTTTTGCAGACTCTTTTAACACTGATGTCAAAAGACTCTTACAACTCCTCTAAGATATATTTAGAACTTTAAACAACCTACTTTTTTTTTTTTCTTTCAAATGCCCAGTGTCCTAGAAGAGATTTTTGGTTGCTTCCAAGCTTGGGCAATTATGATTAAAGCTGCTATAAACACCGTGTGCAGGTTTTTCTGTGCACATAAGATTTCAACTACTTTGAGTAAATACAACAGAGCACTATATGGTAAGAGTGTGTTTGGCTTTGTAGAAACTGCCAAACTAATAAAAGTGGCTGTACCATTTTGAATTCCCACCAGCAATGAATAAGAGTTCCTGTTGACCCAGATCCTCACCAGCATTTGTCAGTGATTCAGATTTTGTCCATTCCAATAGGTATGTAATGGTATCTCACTGTTGTTTTACTTTGCATTTCCCTGATGACCTATGATGTAGAGCATCTTTTCATATGCTTACTTGCCATCTGTATATCTTTGTGGAGGTCCGCTAAGGTCTTTGGCCCATTCTTTAATTGGGTTGTTTGTTTTCTTATTGAGTTTTTAAAGAGTTCTTTGTATGTTTTAGATAACAGTTCTTTATCAGCTGTGTCTTTTGCAAATATTTTCTCCCAGTCTGTGGCTTGGCTTCTCATATTCTTGACATTGTCTTTTGCAGAGCAGAAGTCTTTAGTCTTAATGAAGTACAGTTAATCAATTATTTCTTGTGTGGATTGTGCCTTTGCTGTTATACCTAAAAAGTCATCCACATACTGAAGGTCATCTAGGTTTTCTCCTGTTATCTTCTAGAGGTTTTACAGTTTTGCATGTTACATTTAGGAATATGATCCATTTTGAGTTGATTTGAAGGTGTGATATCTGTGTTGCAATTTTTTTTTTTTTTTTGGCATGTGGATATCTAGTTGTTTCAGTACCATTTGTGGAAAAGACTATCTCTGCTCTATTATATTGCCTTTGCTCCTTTGTCAAAGATCAGTTGACTATATTTATGTGGGTCTATTTCTGGGCTCTCTATTCTGTGCCATTGCTATTTGTCTATTCCTTTACCAATACCACACTGTCTTGATTACTGTAGCTTTATAGTGAGTCTTGCAGTCAAGTACTGTCAGTGCTCCACCTTAGTTTTTCTTCAATTTTCTGTTGCCTATTCTTTTGCCTCCCCATATATTTAAAATCTGTTCATTGATATCCACAAATAACTTGCTGTGATTTTGACTAGAACTTACTGAATCTATAGATCAAGTTGAGAAGAATGGACGTCCGAAAATATTATGTTTTCCTATCCATGAACATAGAATTTTTTTTTCTTTTTCTTTTTTACCAAAACAAAACAAAACTTTATTCACAATTGAAAACTTAAACAGAAAATCTTGGGTTCTGAATTTGCGACATATCCAAGGTCTCTTGATTAAAAAGGGCCGCAGCAGGCAGCGAAACACACACAGGGGCCAATCCGGATTATCTTACTCAAGAGTGCCACCCAGAGCAAGGGGAGGCCTACAATGGCAGAGAGGTGGAGGCCTGATCAGTCTTGCTCTGGACTACATCTCCCCACACTGTGAGATCACCACAGGCAGCTTGGGCTTATTGTTGGGGCCTGTGGGAACATTCTCAATCTTTTGCATCACTATAAGTCCATCAGTGATTTTTCCAAACACTACGTACTTCCCATCCAGCCAATCACATTTAGAGCAGGTGATGAAGAACTGGCAGCCATTTGTACTGGGACCACTGTTTGCCAGGGAAAGCAGGCCTGGAGCTGAGTGTCTCAGTTTAAAATTTTCATCTGCAAATGGCCCCCGGTAAATACTGGCAACTCCAGTACCATCTCCATTAACAAAATCCCCACCCTGAATCATGAAATCCTTTATGACCCTGTGGAAAGTGCTCCCTTTGTATCCTACCGGAACCCCGTCTTTTCTGAATTCTCCAGTGCAGAACTGCCTAAAATTCTCGGCCGTCTTAGGCACAACGTCCACAAAGAGCTTGATCTTCATGCGGCCAACTTCCTGGCCGCCAATGCTGACATCAAAGAACACCACGGGATTTGCAGGACATGTCCTCACTCCTGCATGGGGATTGGCTGACAATGTCATCTGTCATCACTGGGTCTTTCTTTTTTAAAAAAGATTTATTTATTTGAGAGGGGAGAGGGGCAGAGGGAGAGGGAGAGAGAATCCTCAAGCAGACTCCCTGCTGAGCACAGAGCCCAATTAAGGGCCTGATCTCATGACCCTGAGATCATGACACATGCCAAAATCAAGAGTAGGATGCTTAACCAACTGAGCTAACCCAGGCACCCCTAGAATATTTTTCAGTTTATTTAGATCCTCTTTGATTTCTTTCACCAGTTTTGTACTTTTTCTCATACAGATCTTATACATAATTTGTTAGATTTATATTTAAGTATTTCATTTTGGGGAGTACTAATATAAATTGTATTGTGTTTTCAATTTTAAATTCCACTTCTTCATTGCTAGTATAAAAAAAAGCAATTGATTTTGTATATTAACCACATATCATGCAACCTTGTAGTAACTGCTTATTAGTTCTAGATTTTTTGTTGATTCTTTTGGATTTTCAACATAGAATATCATGTCATCTACAATAGATTTTAATACTGAAATCTTTTTAGTCTCAAATACCCAGACTCAAACTGAAACAGTCTTGGAATCACTGGACACAAAGACCCAAACTAACTTTTTATTAACAGATAGCTCTATCAATCATTCAACTATATGGAAAATTCTTCTTGGGCCTAGAGATGTTTGATAAGCAGATAGACACACAGATTTTTTTTTTTAAATCTACTTCTAGAAAATGTTCTGAAAATACTCTAGCTTTTTACTATTGTTTTCTGACATAGAAACCTAAACAGAGTAACTTCTGCTACTAAAATATACCTGTTTGAAAGGAAAGTTCATTTAAGCAGTATAGGAACACAGATAATGAGTATTGGTTTTGAAACCCCGGGGAATTTCTTCTTCATCAGCAGTGAAACCCAAACAGAAATGGATTAATTTCTTTTTGGCTGATTTGGCTTGGAATACTATGGAATTTCAGTTTAGAGATACAGAAATCCAGATATGTGCTGAACTGTGCTCAGGACTCAATTTCTAGTGAGTGTTCACACATGGGACAAAACTTAAAATTTTCTCATCAACTGATGAAACAGAAAACAGGAACAACAATATTTTAACTATACTGAATGTAGTTGGATTATGTAGCTTCTTATTAGATTCTCTGTAACTCCTTGCCTTTTGTACATGTAACTATGAAACCTATTATATGAATATATTATAAAGTATAAGATATTGATCTATAAAATATAAACTGAAAGCTGACTCCTCAGCATAAAT